CACACACATATCTGTACTTAGGGGACACTTCACACACTTCACACACACACACACACACACACACACACACACACACACACACACACACACACACACACACACACACACACACAACACACAACACACACACACACAAAAGTGGAGTATAGTGCAGGGTGCACTCTGATTTATTATTTCGGCCTCCTGTAAGAATATATAACTACCACTCTGCAGGTAATAGCCTTTCATTTTACAGTGAATGGGAAATTATTTTTTCTGTAATTTTGAATGACAAAGGGAATTAACAATAGGACAGATATAGGCTCTTGTCTGTAAATGTAACCCTGGGATACTGTACAAATGCATTTGGTATTGCAAAGTTTCTGTATCCATACCAACTAGATGGCTTTTAAGCAAAGTCAAATGCATGGCAAGTTATAACACGTTTTTCGGCTAGCTGAAACAATCTCCTAAATTTGCAATGTTGGCTAAGTAAAATGTGTGTTGAATCCCAACTGTGCACATGCAAGTACACTCTAAAAAGTAAAGGTTCCTGGAGGATCCTTTAGGGGTTCTTCAAATTGAAACTGTGGGGGAACACCTATAAGTTCTTCGAATAACTCTTTAAAAGGGTTCTTCAAAGAACCCCTTTTAATGGATCCTCTAAGAACCTTTTGAAGAACCTTTTGGGGTAAATTTTTTAACTACACCCCCCTCCCCTATTATTAGTATTAGTAGTAATATGCTTAACAATAACAACAATAACAAAATATTTTAGTTGTCAGTGTTTATTAGGATTTTAGTGGCAAAGCAGAATAAAAAATAACAAAATATAAGGTAAACTCCCAGCAGAGCCCCAAGTCCAATGGGTATATCCTCTGGCATGTTGATGTTGGCATGTTGATGTTAATGTGCTGATGTTCTTCGTATCCATAGCCAGAATGATTTTGCAGTGCAAGGTGATCGAACAGGTTTCCTGTTATATTCATCAGAGGTGTACGGAGGGTGAAGTCTGTGAATCCAAAAAAATGTAATTATACAGATGATTAACAAAACATGCACACGACAGTATTCATACCTTGGTTTTTGTGGTGAATGTGAATGAAAAAATCTATTTTGATAATGGTTTTCATACACATAACTTGTCCATAATGTAGAGGCCTATGGGATTTTCATTGAAGTGGTAAGGGAGGAGGATGGTACATATGATCTGCATAACATACTAATACCAATTGACATACCTTTATATGCCTCCTCATCTGTATACCCGCAGACACAGACACAAAAGTGAGCAGTTCAGTCATCTGCACCCAATACAGCTAGCCTTCAACATATTCTTATAGCATACATATTCTTACCTCTTTGTTGATTGATATCCATTGAATTGTATCCATTTTCTGTTTTGCACAAATATGAAAAGATAGATGGTATCATGATAAAACAATATCAATTTAGATCATACAAGGGACAAACCTTACCTTAAATGAGGAGATCTTTACATTTTTCAGTTAAGTGCCTGCACCTGCTATCCTTTCAAATTAAAATCCAAATGTTTCAGTTGGGCAGTTAGGTTCCTGCAAGAACCCCCACCAACTAATGAGGTTCCTCGATGAACCCCACCTCCTATGGGGTTCTTGGAAGAACCTTTTGGGTGCAATTTTCAGTGCCAAGAACCCTAAGGTTTTTTGAGTGTATGGACTCTTTAGTTTTTCTGCATTTCGATATCCCCAATGATAGCATTGTAGGGCAGCCGACCCTTTGGGCTGAATATTCCCTCCAGAAAAATCCCTCCCTCTTTTTATCAGTCCATCCTTAGTAGCATTCTCAGTCACAGCATGCTCTAGTCAGACACAGTGTAAGTCCCAACAATTTCTCCTGAAGTGAACACTGGTTCACTACTTCCCACAAAGTTTCCATCATATTTTTTATATCAGTCCTTCCTTTTCAAATCAGTGAAGTAAAGTGATCAAGTGCACACTTTGGAAGGAAGGAGAGATAATTGGGACATAGCCACAGCATTCCTACAGCCAAACCCCATATGTAGCTCTGACATATGTTTTGGTTGAAGTGATAGGGTTAACTGTCTCCCAGACCTCGTTTGATTTTGTCTTAAAGAAACCAATTTGGTGACATTTTAACTGCATAACTGGTGACATTTTAACTGAATGCAACCGCCAACCCAGAACACTGAAAGTCTCACAGGTAGCTCTCATTCCATCTTATAATTTGCAGCTCACATTTCACTTTCAGTTTGGGGGTTTGCCTTCAAACTCACCGTCAGGGTAGACCTGCCCTGGGGCCAGCACTGTAATCCAGCCAACATATCTTGCTGCCCTCAACGGCAGGTCAACCTTGAACGTGATTGTGCCCAAAAAATAGTTACTCTAATAGTTTTGCAAAAACGTTTGTCATGTATTCCTGTAGTCTGATTCTTATTTTTAACTTACCATGTTATACAGTCACCATCAGTGGTGTGTATTCATGGATGCCAAGGGTAGCCAGGCTTCCCCAAATCATTTACCAATAATAAAATAAATAAACATAAAATATTTTCTCTCTCTGTGTGTTTCATCATTATCCTTCAATTCGCAAGAGACTGAATGTATCTCACCGGAGAAAGCATCCGAGTGAAACAGCACCCCTCTGTCTCTGTATATGTAGCACATCTATCTGATGCTGTCTTGTCAAAAAGAGTATGATATTGTTGCCGCCCGCAGCATGGAATGCAAGGGAAGCCAGCAAGCATTTGGCCTCCCTTGATAAATAAATTATACAATAATAGCCAGTCAGTGTTGAGCTAAACTGAGTGAGCTCAACTGTGAATGGTCCTGGCGCACTAAAAGAAAGTGTCACAGGAAGCCAGTTTGGATTTGGCTTCATACCAATCACATCACATCAAGCCAAATATCATTGACAGAAGAAATCTTGAATTGTTGCATCTCGTTGTGTTGTTGTCCTCCGGTGGCTAGCTAGCTAAAATTGGCCCTTTCCTAAATTAGCCATGGTCGGAGATAGGGATTTAGACTTGTGGTTTTACTTAATTCTCCTTACTGGCCAATGATTATAACGGCGATTCTGATCCAACCATACATTTATACATTGTGTCTCTGGCCTCAGTGGATGGAAGTTCAATATGTAGCTAGATGTAGTAGGCTAATGTTAACTAGCTGGCTAATCGTTGCCCATGAAATGCTAGCGAGCAATCATTTTAGCCAGGTAGCCTAGGACAACAAAAACTAAAAGTGTGTTCTGTATTACAGAGTCATAGACCGTTTCAGCAACATGAAAGAGAGGACGATGGCATTGGCGTTTTTCTACAAGTAGGGTGAGTAATTTTTTTTTCTACCACCATTAAAATATGAAAATACTGATCAGATTACCGGTAAACACACACACACACACACACACACACACACACACACACACACACACACACACACACACACACACACACACACAGAGAAATCAGTCCCATGGACAGCCACATAATATTTAGTTTACGTTGATTGGACTAAATCATTTTTTGGAATGTTTTAGTTGTCACTGTATTAGACTAAGCATAGGTGATTTGATGATGTTGACATGTTGAAGTTGAAAGGGTGCTGGAATAGTGGAGGCAGCTCCTGTTTTCTTTGCGACTTGTGGTAACTCTCCAGTGTTCTAAATCAATAGTTGTTTAGTAGTCCAAAAATCTAGGAAACATTACCTTGATTGACCATGCTGTAGGTCATGTAACTGTTTGTTACATGCAATATGCTTTGTGGACTCCACCGGACAGAGGTTGCTCTCCGGTTTTGTGATGAAACAAAGGTGTGGTTGAATGTATTCTGGCACTGTGTCTTCTTATTGTCTCGGCCTTAGGCCTATATATCACAGTAGCAAAGCATATGACTAACAGGTTATAGAGCAAACAATGCAATTATCACAACACATAAGTTGTAATATGGCTTTTTTTCCCTGGCTTGGCTTCCCCAGTGATTTTACCCACGCACCGCTACTGGTCACTACCTTTACCACTAGGTGATGGGTATTGCACTGGCACCTTATATGTTCAGTTTTGTATCTTCATTAGGATTTGGACAGACAGTTTTTAATCAACCGATTATAAAATGCAACAGAGCATACAGCAGAGTGCAAATTATAACGTGACATTCGTGATCTATATTATTTTCACGGGACTTCCTATGTGCGAAACATTCTTATGGGACTAATAGTAAAGACGTATTTTAACGTTAAACATCTACTACCTTTTAATGTGGCATGAACACAACCAGTCATGATGTTTTCATCTGATTGTCAAACAAATCACTTCCAAACAGTGCACTGTGCACCCGCCATTTGATGAAGGGAAAGAGACATGATCATCTGTTACAAAACACCAAAAAGTGTAATGACATTCAGCGATTGTCATCAGGCCTACACTCTTGTAGCCTGAATTAATTGATGCTTCTTGCTCACAAATTGAAAAAGGGGTGAAATACGGGATGCAAATACAGCTGTGTCTATCCTGAGCTCATCAGCGCAGGAAACTCTGAGGGCCCTGTTGATACAATGTTGCAAGTTTGCTAGCAAAAGCTCAAGACAGACAGAGAAAGAGGAAAACAGGGGGAGTGGAGAGATGAATGCGATTGAATCAACTGTCACGGGTTTAAACCATGACAGAGAGGCGGGGGTGTTTGTTAAATTTGGAATAAGCTTTTATTTTCATATGTACCACTATAGCAGTACAAAATTGCATTTAAACAAATAGGAGAATAGTTAAATTAGAGGCTGATAGTTGTAGTCATTATTTAGTATATAATAATTAAAAGTCAATGTATTCTACAGGTAGATTACAAATACAAATTGATTGTTGGGGTTGCTATGATTACTTGTGTCTTCAAGATCTTCCAAAAATAAGACCAAAACAAAGTATATAACATGTGCAACTGGGTTCCTCTCTTGGAATTAATTCAACATATTATAGAATGTGGGTCACAGTGTCCAGGGCTAAACACACAAAGAAAGTTGTATAATGTTACCACCGAATTGGTAAAAGTGTAGATATGTGACTCTGCATCAACATTATAAAAAGGCAGAGTATGTTTATCACAGTCTAGGAACACTCCCACTACAGAGAGCTCTTCTCTCACAGTTACTGGTGTTTGAGGGTTAGTGAGGACATGGAAACCTTTTTCTTATTAGTAAGAAAGAATCCAGACACCACACTGAGGTTTTAGAGGGATCACAGATCTTCTGTCAGCATCTTCTCTGGCCACACCAATATACCATGACAGTTCACAAGGTAGAGAGACAGAGGAGCCTGACCATGTGTGACTGGACCATCAAGGACTGACACAGAGAAGTAATCTAACGCTTGGGTAAGAGATAGAGTTATAGAGATGGACAGCCAGGTCACCCGTGATAAAAGTCAGTATTTGATGTCCATACATGTCTGTGGACGTCGAGAGATGACGTTGAAACCGGCCACTACGGGCAACATTGAGCGCTGTTACCTTCAAGTAGGTTTTGAATTATTTTGTTTATCAACCACATTGAAAACATACATAGATGAAGGGTCCTGCTGTAATGTGGAATCCTGCCTTTTGGGTCATATTTGTCCTATTGGATCAGCCTCCTGTCCATCATGTTTATCCAGCAAATGTGAAGTGTGAAAAGAGACCAAGTAACATAGAGCACCTGTGAGGCTCAACTCTGGTCCATCAGACATTGAACCAGTTTGATTATTACTGCTATCTTGCTGGCCAGAAAAGGGTACATTTAGCAAACAGCCATTGTAGAAAAATACAGTACAAATACAAATGACTTATTCTGTCTGGAAGAATAAAAAATTCATAGAATTCATGCAATTTGAAGGTATAAATAAAACACAATTTAAAAATCACAACAACAAAAAAGGTGAATTTTATTTGTCATTTTACAGTGAAATGCTTATCTATAATAATAGATAAGAGAAACACAAAAAATTGAAACTGCATGAAGCGAAAATGCATATCATGTTTAGTTGGTTTTTACTGCACTTGATGTGCACATCAGCTGAGATGGAAACTATTCATAGTGTACAGTATCTATGATTATCATGTAGCCACTGAAGTTGCTAAGTATGTTGTGTCAGCTCACCTGTAGAATTTGTCAACATTTTGCAGTATTATATTTTCAAAGTCAATTTCTACTGTAGTTTCCATAAACTATTTACATTTATTCAATATCAGAATGTTTTATGTCAACATAATTCATAATTCAATTTTGCGGACAAACACCTTTACTTCAGAGGATTTAAATCAAAGAAACTCACTGCAGGTAGAAAACGATACATTATTTTGAAATAACTTATGATTGTTGTAATCAAATAATAAACCAATGAAAACATTTCAAATTGATGCAACTGAAAGTTTATTTGCTAGTGAATTTCAAGTATTAAACTGTGGCTGTGTATTTTAATATAAGTCTTAGAATACAGTTATAATATGTTTTTATATAGACTCTGTGCCTCTTTTATATTCAGTAACATGTCCATTATTGTAGCATGTTTTTACCTTTGTCATCAGAGTTATTCAACTGTTAAGGGACAGGTGTTATGTAACCCAGGGCTGAATACAGCGAATAATGTTTTAGATGACACATCAGCAAAACTGTAGAGAAGTATGTTTTCCATCATAAAAGGAAAGCATATGTCTGTCATAATCTAAGAACACTCCCAGTTGTTGAGGGAATGTATTTTCCAGATTCTGGTAGGTCTGTTGATGTTAACAGGCTTTCATTTCCAGAGATTGGCATTGGAGGGTCAGCAGGGACTCATATGTAAAAACCCAGCAACCATTCTCATAGGTTAACGGGGACAACATCACTTGTTAGGGTGGCTGTGTCGGTGGCTACTGCTTCCAATAACGAATATAGAAAAACGTCCCACTTCACCTCCACTTCCCAGTATATATGCCCAGAGCTGAAGCTCTCCTCACTAAGGACATGATAAAAAAAAAAAAAAATTAAAAATAAACACAATTTACCTCCGACAAGAGCCGTTTCTTCTATTAAATGAAAAGGTTAAAAAGTAAATGTGTAGAAATATACAAAATAGTATTGAAAAAAGACAGAAGTCATACCTTCTGGCCTCTCAGTAGACTCCTTTTTATCTGAAATGCATTGACACTAATATTAATAAAGGTCATACAATATTACTTTGTTAAAATGTATTGTTCTAGGGATGTTTTTAATGTTGTCATTAAATCTAACACTATTTTACTATCTCCCAGTGACATCTATGCATGACTAAGTGAAAGTTACACTTAAAGGCAGTGTAGCGACTATTTCTCAATGCCAGAAACACATATAATAGTAATTTAGAGCACCCCAAGAAAACATTCCCAAATTACAAACTGTTAAATCAATTGTTATAATATTATAAAGTTTTGCTTAAAGTTAGGTTTGAGGTTTCTATCCAAATCAGCTATAACTTCGGAAACAATCCCACAACGCCCCGCGGTCAGCATCACATGACGAATGAAAAACTTTATAAAAAGTGGGATACATTTGTGAAAATGAGGCGGCTGAATTGGGCATCTACTCATTAATCTGCGGGTAACATTTAATTCCTGAGAAATTCCACGGCTATCAACAATGGAAGGAGTGCTTCAGCAAGAAGTTGCTTCTCAAAGTGGATGCTGTCCCTACCACCAACAGCCAGCAGTACCAGCAGAGACCATGAGAATGGAAGTGAACCGGGTAAGTGAAAGAGCTAGCTAGCTATAGCGCATAAGTGCTATAGTGCATAAGCTTGTGTCTTCCATCACTAATAAAACTAACCATATGTAAACATGTCCGCCAGCTGTCGGTAGATAACTGCTGATGCTGTCATACTATAGATTGTATAAGCCTATGGGAAAGAGTAGGCTTGGCCGCAACAGAGGTCACTGTTACTGTATAGAGATGCAGACAGTGTCGAAGTAACAAAAGTTTATTACAAAAACAGGGGGCAGGCAAACGACAGGTCAAGGGCAGGCATAGGTCAGTAATCCAGATCAGAGTCCAAAAGGTACAGAACGGCAGGAAGTCTCAGGGTCAGGGCAGGCAAAGGTCAATAATCCAGGGTGGTGTGACAAGGTTCTGTACGGCAGGCAGGCTCAGGGTCAGGGCAGGCAGAATGTTCAATACCAAGAAAACTAGAACTTGAGAAAGACAGGAGCAAGGGGAAAAATGCTGGTAGGCTTGACGAAACTAAACGAACTGGCAACAGACAAACAGAGAACACGGGTATAAATACACTGGGGATAATGGGGAAGATAGGCGACACCTGGAGGGGGGTGGAGACAATCACAAAGGTAAAACAGATCAGGGTGTGACAATATTGTCCTTTTGCTCGTTTGATGACTCTGAAGAGGTCATAGTGTTACTTCTTGCACTTGTTCCTGTCCTCCGCCGTAGCCTCAGGGTTCTCTGGGGTAGCCCTGTATTTTAAAGGAATTTTTCTGGCAACCAGAAAAGCAGCCTCTGGATGTAAGTTTTCCTGCTTGTTTATAGCCTCATTCAGGGAGGTGGAAGGGTCGGCATTTGACCATCAGGTATTCCAAGATGGGTAAACAATGGGTTGACACTTCCACCGCGCTCGAGAAGAAAAACCTCTCCCCCTCTCGATTTCCCTGACTCCACTGTCCTGTCCGCACAGTGAATGGAGAATCCATTGAGATAGCTGTGGCTCTCGTACAAGATACCCCCCACGGTGGGGGGTATCTTGTACGAGAGCCATGTTTCAGAAAAGCAGAGAATATTGCAGGTTCGAGAGTCCCCTTGGTAGCAAATCTGCGATCGGAGGTCATTCATGTTTTGGCCAGTAGTATGGAGGGAAGAGGTGGCCGGTTTTCCCTTTGCCTTCATCTCGCCAGGAACCCCCCTCTCTTGCCTCTGTAACGCCAGCGTTTCCTCTTGGGTAGCCCTAAAATTGGATCGGAATTACAGAAAGAGCCCAGGGCAGATGAGTAAAAGTTGAAACCGGAATTTAGGTAATTAACTGCCGATCTGATATTCAAAGGTTCTTGTCGGTTGTAATAAACACTTGATCGATGTAAATATCATAGAAGAGTGTAATTGTCTTTAGGACAGCTGTTTGTTTATTATGACATTTGTGTTTCTTTACATAATATGTAATTGTTGTACTGTATGTGTCTATAGTTTTGTTCAATGTTGTATTAGTGTATGTAAGTTGTTTTGTCTGAAACTTTGTTTCCCCTGCTGCTGTTGGACCAGTTCTCTCTTGAAAAATAGATTTTATCTCAATGAGAAAAACCTGTATACATAAAGGTTAAACAAAAACTAAACAAAAACTAAAATGATAGCAGATACATTTTGTGAAAATAAAGTAAAAATAAAATGACAAAAGAATCACAAAATAGCTAAGTTGGGTCGGAGCTTGCAAGAAGGTGGTCATCCAATAAGGTGCCATCTTAGAGTCTTGTTACAGAATTCAAACCACATAATGCATAGTGCATTTAACAAATATTACCTAAATCTAAACAAAACCCAACCAACCTCAAAAAGCACTAACCGCTCAGCACTACCTGGCACACATACAATGGGGAGAACAAGTATTTGATACACTGCCGATTTTGCAGGTTTTCCTACTTACAAAGCATGTAGTGGTCTGTAATTTTTATCATAGGTACACTTCAACTGTGAGAGACGGAATCTAAAACATAAAACCAGAAAATCACATTGTATGATTTTTAAGTAATTAATTTGCATTTTATTGCATGACATAAGTATTTGATACATCAGAAAAGCAGAACTTAATATTTGGTACAGAAACGTTTGTTTGCAATTACAGAGATCATATGTTTCCTGTTGGTCTTGACCAGGTTTGCACACACTGCAGCAGGGATTTTGGCCCACTCCTCCATACAGACCTTCTCCAGATCCTTCAGGTTTCGGGGCTGTCGCTGGGCAATACAGACTTTCAGCTCCCTCCAAAGATTTTCTATTTGGGTCAGGCCTGGAGACTGGCTAGGTCACTCCAGGACCTTGAGATGCTTCTTACGGAGCCATTCCTTAGTTGCCCTGGCTGTGTGCTTCGGGTTGTTGTCATGCTGGAAGACCCAGCCACGACCCATCTTCAATGCTCTTACTGAGGGAAGGAGGTTGTTGGCCAAGATCTCGCGATACATGGCCCCATCCATCCTCCCCTCAATACGGTGCAGTCGTCCTGTCCCCTTTGCAGAAAAGCATCCCCAAAGAATGATGTTTCCACCTCCATGCTTCACTGTTGGGATGGTGTTCTTGGGGTTGTACTCATCCTTCTTCTTCCTCCTCCAAACACGGCCAGTGGAGTTTAGATCAAAAAGCTCTATTTTTGTCTCATCAGACCACATGTCCTTCTCCCATTCCTCCTCTGGATCATCCAGATGGTCATTGGCAAACTTTAGACGGGCCTGGACATGCGCTGGCTTGAGCAGGGGGACCTTGCGTGCGCTGCAGGATTTTAATCCATGACGGCGTAGTGTGTTACTAATGTTTTTCCTGAGTGGTCAAGGTATAGTTTTTACTTAAATCCGCTTATAAAGCTATGGCAAGACTTGAAAATGGTGGTCTAGCCATGAACCCCAACACCTTGACAGAGCTTGAAGTATTCTGAAAATAATAATTGGCAAAAATTGCACAATACAGGTGTGCAAAGCTCTTATGAGACTTACCCAAGAAGACTCACAGCTGTAATCGCTGCCAAATGTGTTTTTAACATGTATTGACTCAGGAGGTGAATACTTATCTAACCAAGGTATATTAGTGTTTTATTTTTCATTAATCAAAAAAAGACAAAAAATTATTCCACTTTGACATTAGAGGTTTTTGTGTTGACAAAAAAGGACAAATAAATGTTAATCCCACTTTGTAATACAATCAAATGTGAAGAAATCCAAAGGGGGCGTAGACTTTTTATAGGCACTGTAAAGTCACAGTAAAGAAAGACCAGTGAACTTTGGACCTACGTAGGAGCAGTTTGATTATTTAATACTGCAATATACTCCCCCCCACAGAAAAGACAGACATTGTAGAAAAATACAGCACAAGTACAAATGCAATCTGAGTTTGTGTTTGAGAGTGTCTTTATGAATTATATTAGTCATATCATGGATTAATAATAATATTTAATATGGCTCACTTTATTTTCAAAGCCTGGGGGAGAAAGATAAATGTATTGTGTGTATAATATAACAAAATGGTAACTTTACTTGCCATGATTATTATTTATGCGTGTAAATTGCAAAATGTAATTTTGTTTTGTTTGTTGTGCACATAATACTTCATAAGCCCAAGTTTTATAAGCCCATGTGGGCTGGGCACCAGTATTGGTGTATCACAAAAACAAAATCACAAAGAAATATCAAACATTTCTTTGAACATTTCTAAGGCCTTGGTCAAAACCAAACTGACATAAGGAGACAAGTCAGTAAATATAAAATCACATCTTAGTTAATACAATTTATTGAAGGGGAAGTATTTATATATTGGAGAGGTTATAGTTACATACAGTACAGAAGTAAAATACATTTGTTTCTGAGTACATGGTCTCCTTCAATTCTGAGATTGTGAAATCAAAATCCGCTTTGTATTTGTATACTCTGCTTTATTTGTATTTTACGAATGGTAACATAATAGTGAGAATAACTTGGTTCTCCCTTTTCCTCACTGTCAGTAATTTCACTTTCTCCTCACAAACAAATGCCATCTCCAGCTTATTCATTTACCAAACACATAAACAGAATATCCTGGTTAGCTTGCTTTTACAGCACTTGATGTGTACAACAGCTGAGTGTACAGTATATATGATGATCATGGCTGGGGGATGCAAGCCAGTAGCCAAGGAACATGAGCCAGAAAGTGTGGGGCCACAGACCATCTCCTGTTCAAGTAAAGTAGTCAGAAGCCAGAAGAGGAGTACATTACAATTTCATCTTGCGTTTCCTATTTAACACTACCGAGGGGGGGAGGGGTTCTACTAAGCTATATGGAATTGTTTTAAGAAAGTCATACCAAGGATCATTTAGCTATTTGATTTTGAATTTTAAGATCCCTTGACGTATCACCTTTGCACAGACGGTCACATTATTGTGTATCCCAAACTGCTCAAATGCTACAGACAGAAGTTTGCAGATTGGCTGTACCGACTTCAGACGAGTCCCAATACACTTGTGGGGGTCGTAGAGCAAGAGGGAGTTTTTTAGGCCAAACCGTTCGGACGCTATATACAATTTAGTGAAAAGACAGATTTTCGGGATGTCTCATGGTCTGACAAACACCAGTCTAGCTCTGTCACCTTTCACTGCAGATGCGGAGGTGTGACATAGGTGGATTGAGACGCATCCAATGCAAAAAAAAACATATCTCTAGTTTAAATTGACAGATTTTTATGGGGATAATTTTTTTTGCTCATTAGATTTCCGCGGGGGCGCGGACATCAACCTTAGGGAGTAGTAGGGACCCATTTAGCACTACACCAAATGTTAGGATGAAGACAATGTCAGGATTTTTTTCACACCAAATTAGTAATGAGAAAATACTAATTCTAGTACTTTCAGCACTCCAGGGCCATGGTTACCTAGCTCTGCTGTAGAGTAGACACTCAAAAAAAGAGATGAAAGTTTTGTTATGCTTATTTAATCATTCAAAAGGCAACAAGTGTATAACAAACATTTTAAAGCTGTTAGGCCATCATCAGTCAGTGATGTACAAACAATACACCACTGAGTTGAGGTGTTGCTCTGGATTTTTTAATAGTATGTTGTGTCAGCTGACCTGTAAAATTATGTCCACAATTTGCAGTATATTCAAAGTCAATGTGTACCTGTAGAATATGTCAATAGCACTGTGGTTTTTATAAAATAATTACATGTATTCAAAATCAGGATGTTTAATGAATGTTTTATGTCAACACAATGTCAAGCACTCAGAATTCTATCTTTTTTGTAGACAGACACTTATTTACATCAATAATCTTACTGCATGTAGAAAACTATACATTGTTGTGAAATCAAATCACATCAAAGTAACATTTTTAAATGCACACAATACAGCGTAGTGTACACAGCACAACAAAATGCTTACTTACAACCTCTCCTTTCAAACAGTGCAACATTTATAAAATATTCAATACAAAATAAGTTTAAAAAAACACAATAAGAGCACTATGTCAATCAAAATAAGGAGGAAGCCACAAAAGAACACCGGTATGAAATTAGTAAGAAATAGGAATATAATGATGCAGATAATTAGATCGATAGAAGCCACAATCTATCTGCAATATTAAAGCTGAAAGATCCCCCCTCCCCCCCAAAAAAGAAACCAGCCTACAGTGTTGATACTATCACCTCTGCAGATGGATAAATCATTTTCAGTCTGACCAACTGTAGGCTTAACAACAGCCAGGTAGCACAGCCTATGCGCCCTGTCCCCTCTGGCCGGAGGAAACGAAGTGGTAACATCATGTATTTAGCTATACAATATCATTTATTTGAGTGTTAGGATCAAATCTGAATGTGATCAAATTTGGTTTGTATTCAAGCTTTGGCTGACTAGGCTACCTACACCTTTTCATTCCAAATTATTGACTGAAATTAATCGTATGAACAAGTACAAGGTTGCTATAGTTCAACAGGTCATTCATCCTCCCTAAGGTCAGGATTTTTGTTTTTAACCATGTGACCTGATTTAAAAAAACTATGGGCCCAGCATAGCCCATTTTACACTGTTTTATGATTAGAAAACTGTCCCATAGACATCTACATGTCCTTTCACTATTTACAGGAGTTCAGCTATCCCGAATCATGCTAAACTGAGGCTGGACAATAATTGTTCCACTGCACCAGGGTACAGAGAGGGATGAAAACACATTTCACAAAGTCATCCCATGTTGCTCCATGCATCATCATATCACCCTGTAAAATAAAGTACATTTTGTACATGATCTCTGTTTTCTTTATCTCTTTAGACAATGGATAAAACAGATGACTCAATCACAATGATATGTTAGGTTGACTTGGTGAAAGATGATGCCTATCTCTTTTGGTTTTGTTGCTCATACTTGCTGTAACTAGTCTGATCTTTCTGGGCCAGTCGTCCCTATATGATCTATTCATGTCTAGGCTATCTCATGTATTGTCAAAGTTAAAGGGCAGGGAGGCTGAAACTTGGCCTCAAGTGGAACTCCAAACACAAATCAAAATCCACAAAGAAATGGTTAATTGACCACAAAATCAACATTTTTCAATGGCCATCTCAGTCTCTGGCCTTGAACCCCATTTAAAACCTGTGGTTTGAAGTGAATAGGGAAGTCCATAAGAGCAAACGAAAGATATCAAGGATCTGGAAAGATTCTGTATGGAGGAATGGTTTAAGATCCCTCCCATTGTGTTCTCAAATCTCATAAAATATTATATGATAAGGCTCAGTGCCGTTATCCTCGCATGAGGAGGATGCTGGAGTATTGAATACAGGTGTGCCAATAATGTTGACCCCTATCTTTTTTAGATTATTTTGTATTACTTGTTAAACAAAATCTCCTTCTCTGAGCAATTGTATTGGTATAAAAAATATATACTTTTCATAAAAACAAAAATCCTGACCTTGCAAAAAAAATATGTTACATGCAGTTACATGCAAATATGTTACACACTGTTGCTCAGAATTTGTATTTTTTAAATATATACTTTTTTGCTCATCTTTATCAAGGGTGCCAATAATTTTTGGACCGAACTGTAGTAGAAAATGATTTACTTCTGCGGAGGAAGATGGTTGAAGTGGGAAATCACTTATGATTATTGTGATCAAATATCTATACATTTTTTAACATTGACACAGCTGAGTGGTATTGATTACTTGAAATTGAAATTTTCTATTTACATTTGTAAGTGTTTCATTGTACAATTGTCTTACAATTTTTCGTTAGTGTCTCAGTTACAATGAGCTTTTAGAGGAAACGGAGGGCCGAACACATCACTAACGACCTATCATGGTCCAAAAACACCAACACAGTTGTGAGGAGGGCACGACAATGCTTCTTCCCCCTCAGGAGGCCTAAATTATTTGACATTGGCCCTCAGATCCTCAAAAAGTTCTACAGCTGCACCATTGAGTGCATCTTGACTGGCTGCATCACTGCTTGGTATGGCAACTGCTCGGCATCCGACCGTAAGGCGTTCCAGAGGGTATTGCGCACAGCCCAGTACATCGCTGGCTTCCTGCCATCCAGGACCTTTATACCAGGCGGTGTCAGAGGAAGGCCCTAAAAATTGTCAGACTCAGGCCACCCAAGTCATGGACTATTCTCGCTGCTACCGCATGGCGAGCGGTACTGGACCGCCAAGTCTGGGACCAAAAGGCTCCTGAACAACTTCTACCCCAATGCCATAAGACTGTTGAACAGTTAATCAAATGGCTACCCGGACTATTTGCATTGACCAACCTTTTTATGCACTGACTCTCTTGCACAGGCTCTATGCACACTCACTGGACTCTACCCACACACTCACACATACTACACTGATACTCCAACACACACACACTACATATGCCCACACATTCATGCGTATTGATACCACACACACCCACTCCTTCACACTCCTTCACACACTTCAGATATACTGCTGCTACTCTGTTTATTATCTATCCTGATTGCCTACTCATTTTTACCCCTACCTACATGTACATATTACCTAAATTACCTAAACTACATCGTATCCCTGCACATTGACTCAGTACTTGTATATAGCCTCATTATTATTTTATTGTATTAATATTTCCTTTTTATTTTTTTGCAATGTTTTTTATTTTGACTCTGCTTTGTTGGGAAAGGGCTTGTGAGTAAGCATTTCACTTTAAAGTCTACACCTATTATATTCAGCGCATGTGATGAATAAAATGTGATTTGATTGTATAGACTATTTGTTGTTCAGTAATATTTAACATGATTATTATTGTGGGATGTTTCTACCTTTGTCATCTACAATCATTTAATTATTAAGGGACGTCGGTCTAATCCTGGGCTAAATACAGCAAAGAATGTGTTCGAGTTAGATGACACGTCAGCAAAACTGTAGAGATGTACTTCTGAATCAGCATCATAAAAGGACAGCTTCTGTCTGTCACAATCTAAGAACACTCCCAGTGTTTCAAGGTTTTTAATTCCAGATAATGGTGTTGGAGGGTCTGCAGAGACACAATAACCGTTTCCTTTTTTATAGCTTAGAATCCAGAAACCATTCCCAGCGTTTAAGGGGACAACAGCCTTATGCTTGACTGCGTCTGTGGTGGCTACCCCAACATACCATGTATGTTTCCATGAAGACTGCACCACCACTTCCCAGTATGTCTGTCCTGGGCTGAATTTGTTCTCACTAAGGACATAAGGATATTTGGAATCATAACCGCCCTCATTTTTAGAACTAACCATATTTTTTCTAGAATACACCTCTAGCTGTGAGTGAGCAGTCAGTGGGTCAAAAGTGATGTCCACTAAGAGAAAATAATAGGATTTCATTCATACATTCACTTACATGGTTACTCATTGGATTGTGTTATATTACTACAGTTGAAGTCGGAAGTTTACATACACTTAGGTTGGAGTCAATAAAAACTTGTTTTTCAACCACTCCACAAATGTCTTGTTAACAAACTATAGTTTTGGCAAGTCGGTTAGCATGACACAAGTAATTTTTCTAACGATGGTTTATAGACAGATTATTTAACTTATAATTCACCGTATCACAATTCCAGTGGGTCAGAAGTTTATATACACTAAGTTGACTGTGCCTTTAAACAGCTTGGAAAATTCCAGAAAATGATGTCATGGCTTTAGAAGCTTCTGATTGACATCATTTGAGTCAATTGGAGGTGTACCTGTGGATGTATTTCAAGGCCTACCTTCAAACTCAGTGCCTCTTTGCTTGACATCATGGGAAAATCAAAAGAAATCAGCCAAGACCTCAGAAAATATTTTTGTAGACCTCCACAAGTCTGGTTCATCCTTGGGAGAAATTTCCAAATGCCTGAAGGTACAACGTTCATCTATACAAACAATAGTACGCAAGTATAAACACCATGGGACCACGCAGCCGTCATACCGCTCAGGAAGGAGACGCGTTCTGTCTCCTCGAGATGAACGTACTTTGGTGCGAAAAGTGCAAATCAATCCCAGAACAACAGCAAAGGACCTTGTGAAGATGCTGGAGGAAACAGGTATAAAAGTATCTATATCCACAGTAAAACAAGTCCTATATCAACATAACCTGAAAGGCCGCTCAGCAAGGAAGAAGCCACTGCTCCAAAACAGCCATAAAAAAGCCAGACTACGGTTTGCAACTGCACATGGGGACAAAGATCGTACTTTTTGGAGAAATGTCCTCTGGTCTGATGAAACAAAAATATAACTGTTGGCCATAATGACCATCGTTATGTTTGGAGGAAAAAGGGGGTCTCTTGCAAGCCGAAGAACACCATCCCAACCATGAAGCACGGGGGTGGCAGCATCATGCTGTGGGGGTGCTTTGCTGCAGGAGGGACTGGTGCACTTCACAAAATAGATGGCATCATGATGAAGGAAAATTAGATGGATATTTTGAAGCAACATCTCAAGACATCAGTCAGGAAGTTCAAGCTTGGTCGCAAATGGGTCTTCCAAATGGACAATGACCCCAAGCATACTTCCAAAGTTGTGGAAAAATTGCTTAAGGACATCAAAGTCAAGGTATTGGAGAGGCCATCACAAAGCCCTGACCTCAATCCTATAGAAAATGTGTGGGCAGAACTGAAAAAGCTTGTGCGAGCAAGGAGGCCAACTAACCTGACTCAGTTACCCCAGCTCTGTCAGGAGGAATGGGCCAAAATTCAGCCAACTTATTGTGGGAAGCTTGTGGAAGGCTACCCGAAACGTTTGACCCAAGTTAAACAATTTAAAGGCAATGCTACCAAATACTAATTGAGTGTATGTAAACTTCTGACCCACTGGGAATGTGATGAAATAAATAAAATAAATCATTCTCTCTACTATCTAGTCCCCCGAGTGGCGCAGTGGTCTAAGGCACTGCATCGCAGTGCTAGCTGTGCCAGTAGAGATCCTGGTTCGAATCCAGGCTCTGCTGTAGCCGGCCGCAACCGGGAGACCAATGGGGCGGCGCACAATTGGCCCAGCGTCGTCCAGGGTAGGGAGACTACTATCTAGTCTCCCGAGTGGCGCAGTGGTCTAAGGCACTGCATCGCAGTGCTAGCTGTGCCACTAGAGATCCTGGTTCGAATCCAGGCTCTGCTGTAGCCGGCCGCAACCGGGAGACCAATGGGGCGGCGCACAATTGGCCCAGCATCGTCCAGTTCTGCCCACAGGCACCTTCAGGCGAGTGGCGCAGTGGTCTAAGGCACTGCATTGCAGTGCTAGCTGTGCCACTAGAGATCCTGGTTCGAATCCAGGCTCTGCTGTAGCCGGCCGCAACCGGGAGACCAATGGGGCGGCGCACAATTGGCCCAGCGTCGTCCAGGGTAGGGGAGGGAATGGCCGGCAGGGAGGTAGCTTAGTTGGTAGAGCATGGCGTTTGCAACGCCAGGGTTGTGGGTTTGTTTCCCACGGGGGGCCAGTATGAAAAATAAAATAATGTATGCACTCACTAACTGTAAGTCGCTCTCGATAAGAGCGTCTGCTAAATGACTAAAATGTAAAATGTAATGAAGAGACAGGACAAGGCATACAGTATGTTCTGTGTACCTGTCCGCAGCCACTTCCCATTCACTGTGAGGAACACACTGGCCTTGTCGAACCATTGTTCGCTGCTGACACGGCACACATATTCCTCTGTCTTCCAGTGTGACCCTCTCCAGTCTCAGGGACACGTTCCCTCTCCAACCCCCCAGTTAGAGACACCCTGCCATTCTACAAGGGCGGTCCACATGGGCCTTCTGGATCTTGTGGTCCTCGTATAACAAGACAGGGCTGTAGGAGTTTTAGGGCCGGTACCAGCGCACCTCCAATGGCTCTGCGTTGAAGAGAGGTGAGAGTTCTCAACGTACAGAGACAGGGGAGCCTGACCATGCCCTGATTGGACCATCAGGAACTGACACAGAGAAGTCATCTAGACCTGGGGTAAGAGATAGCGTTATAGAGATGAAATATTTGAGAGGGATTCTCAGACTATTTTATCCTGCAAATGGAAACTTTTGAAATTAACTGGGTGTAAACATTCTCACCAGGCTTTTGAGATGTGATGAAAACAGTGCGGACAGCCAGTATCACCACCTTCAGACACAACCCTGTGGTAAAGACAGGGCCGGCGTTATGGACGGGCCTTAGGTGGCCAGGCCCGCCCTACCGTACCTCCTTGTCGGTCCAAAATATTGATAATACATTTGACTGATGCGTGCCTTAGTATGTGTAGACCATGTATCTGATGCTGTCTGGACCAAAAGAGTATGGCATGTCATACTATTTCTGGCAAGACAGAATCAGATACATGGGCTACATATGTTTCGCTCGCTAGGATGCTTTCTCCGATGATATAGTTTCAGCAGAGAGGAATCGGCGAAGCGAGAGGGCTCACTCTCGTCAAAATCTGTCCAGTATAGGCCCAATGCGTTTCTATGGGAATAATATTCAGACCTAAGCATGTCTCCTGCCTTCCCACCTTTGGGACAAAGACTCCCACTGTTAGGACAGAGACATGAGTATCTCGTCATTATATACAGCTCTCTGGTTTCAGCCTCTTGCAAATTGGAGAGGAAAGTTGCACTGTTAGGATGATGGATTGCCTAAAGTAAATGTATATTTCGCCAACATTATATAATTACTCCTGTCTAAATAAAATCATTGAAAATACTTCACCAGGGAGCATGGCTTAGCCACAGAGGATCATTATTATATATTTTTTTGCTTTGGATTGTTTCAATTCACAAGTGTGTTTGGGAAGCCCACGATTTGCGTAGTGCGTGTGGCAGTAGGTCTATCTGATTGAGTTGCAGCTGTCAGTGAAAATAGTCTAAAATATGTGTGAAGATAATGTGTGAAGAAGGGGAGGGGAGTGTGTCGAATATATGGTGCGTCTCTCTGGTGCAGGTCTACAATTTTGTTTCTGGTGTCCTTTGACAGCTCTTTGGTCTTGGCCATAGTGGAGTTTGGAGTGTGACTGTTTGAGGTTGTGGACAGGTGTCTTTTATACTGATAACAAGTTCAAACAGGTGCCATTAATACAGGTAACGAGTGGAGAACAGAGGAGCCTCTTAAAGAAGAAGTTACAGGCCTGTGAGAGTCAGAAATCTTGCTTGTTTGTAGGTGACCAAACACTTATTTTCCACCATAATTTGCAAATAAATTCATTAAAAATTCTACAATGTGATTTTCTGGAGAAAAAAAAACCTCAATTTGTCTGTCATAGTTGACGTGTACCTATGATGAAAATTACAGGCCTCTCTCATATTTTTAAGTGGGAGAACTTGCACAATTGGTGGCTGACTAAATACTTTTTTTCCCCACTGTAAGTGAAAGAGCTAGCTAGCTATAGCGCATAAGTGCTATAGTGCATAAGCTCGTGTCTTCCATCACTAATAAAACTAACCATATGTAAACTTGTTCGCCAGCTGTCGGTAGATAACTGCTGATGCTGTCATACTATAGATTGTATAAGCCTATGGGAAAGAGTAGGCTTGTCCGCAACAGAGGTCACTGTTACTGTATAGAGATGCAGACAGTGTCGAAGTAACAAAAGTTTATTACAAAAACAGGGGGCAGGCAAACGACAGGTCAAGGGCAGGCATAGGTCAGTAATCCAGATCAGAGTCCAAAAGGTACAGAACGGCAGGATGTCTCAGGGTCAGGGCAGGCAAAGGTCAATAATCCAGGGTGGTGTGACAAGGTTCTGTACGGCAGGCAGGCTCAGGGTCAGGGCAGGCAGAATGTTCAATACCAAGAAAACTAGAACTTGAGAAAGACAGGAGCAAGGGGAAAAATGCTGGTAGGCTTGATGAAACAAAACGAACTGGCAACAGACAAACAGAGAACACGAGTATAAATACACTGGGGATAATGGGGAAGATAGGCGACACCTGGAAGGGGGTGGAGACAATCACAAAGGTAAAACAGATCAGGGTGTGACAATATTGTCCTTTTGCTCGTTTGATGACTCTGAAGAGGTCATAGTGTTACTTCTTGCACTTGTTCCTGTCCTCCGCCATAGCCTCAGGGTTCTCTGGGGTAGCCCTGTATTTTAAAGGAATTTTTCTGGCAACCAGAAAAGCAGCCTCTGGATGTAAGTTTTCCTGCTTGTTTATAGCCTCATTCAGGGAGGTGGAAGGGTCGGCATTTGACCATCAGGTATTCCAAGACGGGTAAACAATGGGTTGACACTTCCACCGAGCTCGAGAAGAAAAACCTCTCCCCCTCTCGATTTCCCTGACTCCACTGTCCTGTCCGCACAGTGAATGGAGAATCCATTGAGATAGCTGTGGACCCCCCACGGTGGGGGGTATCTTGTACGAGAGCCATGTTTCAGAAAAGCAGAGAATATTGCAGGTACGAGAGTCCCCTTGGTAGCAAATCTGCGATCGGAGGTCATTCATGTTTTGGCCAGTAGTATGGAGGGAAGAGGTGGCCGGTTTTCCCTTTGCCTTCATCTCGCCAGGAACCCCCCTCTCTTGCCTCTGTAACGCCAGCGTTTCCTCTTGGGTAGCCATAAAATTGGATCGGAATTACAGAAAGAGCCCAGGGCAGATGAGTAAAAGTTGAAACCGGAATTTAGGTAATTAACTGCCGATCTGATATTCAAAGGTTCTTGTCGGTTGTAATAAACACTTGATCGATGTAAATATCATAGAAGAGTGTAATTGTCTTTAGGACAGCTGTTTGTTTGTTATGACATTTGTGTTTCTTTACATAATATGTAATTGTTGTACTGTATGTGTCTATAGTTTTGTTCAATGTTGTATGAGTGTATGTAAGTTATTTTGTCTGAAACTTTGTTTCCCCTGCTGCTGTTGGACCAGTTCTCTCTTGAAAAATTGATTTTATCTCAATGAGAAAAACGTTTATACATAAAGGTTAAACAAAAACAAACCAAAAACTAAAATGATAGCAGATACATTTTGTGAAGTAAAAATAAATGACAAAAGAATCACAAAATAGCTAAGTTGGGTCGGAGCTTGCAAGAAGGTGGTCATCCAGTAAGGTGCCATCTTAGAGTATTGTTACAGAATTCAAACCACATAATGCATAGCGCATTTAACAAATATTACCTAAATCTAAACAAAACCCAACCAACCTCAAAAAGCACTAACCGCTCAGCACTACCTGGCACACATACAGTGGGGAGAATAAGTATTTCATACACTGCCGATTTTGCAGGTTTTCCTACTTACAAAGCATGTAGAGGTCTGTAATTTTTATCATAGGTACACTTCAACTGTGAGAGACGGAATCTAAAACATAAATCCAGAAAATCACATTGTATGATTTTTAAGTATTTAATTTGCATTCTATTGCATGACATAAGTATTTGATACATCAGAAAAGCAGAACTTAATATTTGGTACAGAAACGTTTGTTTGCAATTACAGAGATCATATGTTTCCTGTAGGTCTTGACCAGGTTTGCACACACTGCAGCAGGGATTTTGGCCCACTCCTCCATACAGACCTTCTCCAGATCCTTCAGGTTTCGGGGCTGTCGCTGGGCAATACGGACTTTCAGCTCCCTCCAAAGATGTTCTATTTGGGTCAGGCCTGGAGACTGGCTAGGTCACTCCAGGACCTTGAGATGCTTCTTACGGAGCCACTCCTTAGTTGCCCTGTTTGTGTGTTTCGGGTCGTTGTCATGCTGGAAGACCCAGCCACGACCCATCTTCAATGCTGTTACTGAGGGAAGGAGGTTGTTGGCCAAGATCTCGCGATACATGGCCCCATCCATCCTCCCCTCAATACGGTGCAGTCGTCCTGTCCCCTTTGCAGAAAAGCATCCCCAAAGAATGATGTTTCCACCTCCATGCTTCATGGTTGGGATGGTGTTCTTGGGGTTGTACTCATCCTTCTTCTTCCTCCAAACACGGCCAGTGGAGTTTAGACCAAAAAGCTCTATTTTTGTCTCATCAGACCACATGACCTTCTCCCATTCATCCTCTGGATCATCCAGATGGTCATTGGCAAACTTCAGACAGGCCTGGACATGCGCTGGCTTGAGCAGGGGGACCTTGCGTGCGCTGCAGGATTTTAATCCATGACGGCGTAGTGTGTTACTAATGGTTTACCTGAGTGGTCAAGGTATAGTTTTTACTTTAATCCGCTTATAAAGCTATGGCAAGACTTGAAAATGGTGGTCTAGCCATGAACCCCAACACCTTGACAGAGCTTGAAGTATTCTGAAAAGAATAATTGGCAAATATTGCACAATACAGGTGTGCAAAGCTCTTATGAGACTTACCCAAGAAGACTCACAGCTGTAATCGCTGCCAAATGTGTTTTTAACATGTATCGACTCAGGAGGTGAATACTTATCTAACCAAGGTATATTAGTGTTTTATCTTTCATTAATCAAAAAAAGACAAAAAATTATTCCACTTTGACATTAGAGGTTTTTGTGTTGACAAAAAAGGACAAATAAATGTTAATCCCACTTTGTAATACAATCAAATGTGAAGAAATCCAAAGGGGGCGTATACTTTTTATAGGCACTGTAAAGTCCCAGTAAAGAAAGACCAGTGAACTTTGGACCTACGTAGGAGCAGTGTGATTATTTTAATACTGCAATATACCCCCCCCCCCCCAGAAAAGACAGACATTGTAGAAAAATACAGCACAAATACAAATGCAATCTGAGTTTGTGTTTGAGAGTGTCTTTATGAATTATATTAGTCATATCATGGATTAATAATAATATTTAATATGGCTCACTTTATTTTCAAAGCCTGGGGGAGAAAGATAAATGTATTGTGTGTATAATATAACAAAATGGTAACTTTACTTGCCATGATTATTATTTATGCGTGTAAATTGCAAAATGTAATTTTGTTTTGTTTGTTGTGCACATAATACTTCATAAGCCCAAGTTTTATAAGCCCATGTGGGCTGGGCACCAGTATTGGTGTATCACAAA